GACTCAAGTCCCTACAGTGATGACTACCAATACCACTCCCGGTGCCCCGATCCCAGCAACGAGCTATTAAAAGGAGGAGATATCTGTATGGCCGATGACGGCGAAGTCATGGCGTCGAATGTTGAGAATAATCAATAATCAGATGGGACCTTCTAGCAGTTTCCAGGGATTGAGGGAGCGGATTAATGGCATTGGGGAATATCCAAGACGACCGGGATTGTGGGGCGCAGCCACCAGTTTGCCCAGGCTCTAATAATAATGAACTGACGATCGTATGGCGGAAGCGGCGGCGTTTGCTACAAAATCAGCCTATGATTAGCTTCACTTGAATAGCTGATGAATTGCGACGATTTCAACGGATCATGGAAATATTCCTAATCAAAGATTGCGCCGAGTTCGGTCCTCATAGTAAAAAGAGCGCACATTGCCATGGGACGAAAGTATGGTGTTACTTTTGAGGTTTAGCACTCATAGCCATGGCCCATGGGTGAGGGTAAATAATTAGTATGGTAGTAGTTTCAAGCACTTAGGCGAGGCTATCTCGCCTAATGCCTACAGAGCGTTAATAGTAGCTGTCATGTTAAGACAAGGAGTTTAATCGCAATTTTGTGAGAGGATCCCGCATAATAAAAACCTTCGATTTAGTACTAAGTTTATACCGTAAAATTATAATTATAATTATAATTATAATAATGCAGTTTAACGGATAAAAAGAAATGAGGGCGACGTATTAATAGGGCACGTAACTACACGACCCTAACTGCCTACATGTATGTATTCAGGTTTGAAGTAGAATAATGTTGCAATATAGATCCTGGGGTTTCTCAATCGGGCTTGCTGCATTAGCTATTGCGTCTGATATGAGCCTCGTGATGATAGATCGTTTTTTTTTCTGGTACTCTAACTTATACGCGCCTTGTAAAGAAAATATCGGTAGCAAATCTAATATCCGGAATGTAACAAAAGCTCAATGATTAGGTACCCTAGGTACCTACCCTAGGTACCTAGGTATGATTATGATAGCCGGCACTCTTCATAACCTGCGTGGTCGACCACTGAAGCTCTTTAGAAAGGGTTAATACAACGGCATCTATGTGCATCTATGCATCTATGTGGATGCTCGCACATTGCAATTTATAGATCCTTATTTCCAACGTAGAGATAGGTAAAGCCACAAAGACGGCAATGGTCTGCGAGGCTTATATGCATCGTATTAGTGGACGTACCAAGGCGGGAATTGTTATGTCCGATTTATGTTGCAAGAATACTACAACCAAGATGACATGAAGGCGGGCGTATGTCCTCAAGGTGCGAACTAGCTACAGTACATTGTTCATTAAATTTGATTGGCTAGGCTTTTTATACGATGTATACTGTAGCTAGTTCGCACTTGAGGACATACACGTATGTATACAAATAAAACTCCCATTTCAGAGTATCTATAGGTAGATACGTAAATAAGTAGAGAAGCATGACGTGAGAATAGTGATTCGGTTAGGTCGCTTGTTTCCATGATGCTTCAGTATTAAAAGTTATACATAAGTGAGTGTAAGTGTTCTAGGTATGTGCGAATATCCGCTTCAGAAAATTAGGTAGTTAAACCATCCTATCAGTTAACAAGGACATACGGTAAATACCATAGTCGAAGCGGGTCCAATCTAGCCGAACCAGTCGGCCTTATTGCACGGTTAAGGTGGCTGGGAAATCGGGAACACTAACGGATGCGCCTATCCGCAACCGTGACATAAACAGGGGTATCGAAGGTGGGGACCCGCTCGGTATGGAGCATCCAGGCCCTGCTCGGCCACGTGCTTTAAAGCTTTTGCAAGTGCTTGTCCGGTCCGCTTTGGCTCCACCTTCAATCTTCTCCACACATGTCAACCTCTAATTCCAAAAGCCCTATTTACGTAGCTTCTTCACCTACAAGTTTTCAGCCTCAGGGTTTGTTGCTGAGGAGTTGTACAAGAGTATTTAGCAGTAAGGACCGAAACAAGCAATGAGTGTCAGCACATACTATGTAATGTCACATCGAATATCTGACAGCTGCAAATCTCGTACGACATATTACCGATTTTATCAAATGTCTCATATGCCGTACTACTATCTTCTCCCACCTTGGACACATCAGATTCCTACCTGCATGTCTACGGCCTCCATTTTCCATCGTACATATCGTATCCCAGGATTCCCATTCACCCCGCGGGCGCCCCCTGCTATGCGCGTCAACTTTTTGGTGCCAATGATCACGCTAAACATGCCATCATGTCATCATCCTTGGGCTGAACCACCATCCAGATGCGGTAAGTATTGGACCGGCCCGAGAAATTCAAAGTCGGGTATCTGAGTATTCTTATGTCATTTATGGAATACAGTCATGCTTGCTCGGAAGTAAACAGTCATCTCAACGTTATGTTACTGTGGCTTTCTATTCCAGCCGACAGGATACTGGGCACTCCCTAAACCATCTAAGAAAATCTGCATGTATTTACCAAGACAAACATATCATTCTCCTTGTTTAATAGGTATCATTCCTAATAATATTATCGTGACGTAGGCTTGATGTAAGGCGGAGATAGTACTGGTATCGTTTAACACGGACTTACGTTTGGAACATAGGTATTTATTGACGTTACGGTTTACACGTAAACAGATGCCAATTTAATCGTAAAGCATAGTCATATTCCCTATCAACTTCCTAGCACACTCGCCTGGCCTAAGAATTCTAAGATTCTACATAATGGTAATATAGACTCGATAAAGAACATGTGTTATGTTTAGGCCACTTTCCTTTATTACAAACCTCACTGTAGTCTGCGGCCCCATACGTCGACCTTTATCTATTCTAGACCATAGAAAGAGCTCGATAAAGTGCATACTATAGGTAAGGTCCATCAATTGACATTCATAAGATACAATATCTATCATGAACTGCATTATGTAGGTATTCTTGATTGTTTCATGATGTATCATATCATACTAGGACCAACACTTCGTGCTTGACTCCAATAAGACCAAATTCTCACCAAATAGCTTCACGCGTCTACCTCAAGACTACTAAGACAACTAGAATGAAGTAGTTGTATGTACCCTAGTGGTCTTGTTCTGGTCTAGTTTATGGTTCCTCGAAATAACGTAATTGCTTTCTTGCTCGTATTTTTGATAGCGCGAATCTAGTTTGGTCCAGACACCTTCAAGAGGGTGGCGTTAATTTTTCCCATGCTCAGATAGGGGAACTCGTAGGTTTGGTTGAACAACGACCTTCCTTCTAGGGGACTGGCTATTAGCTGTAATAAAGACTATTGGGTCGTGCTGATTCGCTGTGTTGGATCTTAATAAGGGTTATGGTATTAATAAGGGATGCTTTTTGCAGCTAAACAGACATGCCCTACATTTGACCTATCACTGATCGTTTATCGGTAATTCTCGATCGTCGATCATTGCCTGCTCGAAGATTTCTTTGGCGACGGGAAGCATACGACCATTGGATCTTACAACTCCCGAGTTTCGGGATCCGAAAGGCTAGAACATTTTGTATGATCGAGGTGACATACATGAAGGCAGGTCTTCCTCATAAGTGTTGTACAAACTTATCCTAAGGTACAGATATATCTGGTCATTGGATCAACCTTGGCAGCGGCAGGGTTCATGCGGTTGCATTCTTCTAAGTCTTTTAGCCAACACCAGGTTATCCAACTTTGTCCAACGTCAAGGGAGAAATTGGAGTGTCCAACCATCAGCCCTATCTTAAGATGACGGGAGACGCTATGTAGTATCCCGTCCCGGACAACTAGACACCGCCGAAGAACTGATCCATATCGAAAAGTAGTCGAGTACGGCTTAGAGCAGCCTTTGGTAGGCCCATGCATGGATGGTCGTGTTGAGGGGTTACAGCGGAATATGAAATCGAACCGCGTCAGCCAACCTTATAAAATGTATACCTACATCAAATAGCACCGTGCCTTCTAGCTAGTCTCCTGCTGCTTGTAAGAAACTCACCCTGGGTGTGGCTCGGTAGGTGTTACCTGATCTAGAGCTAGTAAGAACCTAACAGAAGAGCCAACGGGACGTGGAACACTCTTATCAAGAAGCCCTGCCCAATTTCCGTTAAATTCCCAATATGTACCTAACCTAACCCCCTAAACGGTACGCATATCCTGCTTAAACTTCTTCTAATAGGCTCTAATCTATACAAAGGAGAGTAGTTAATCGACATGCAACTTGACGGTATTAGGAATGTATCAGGTTACGATGACCTCTGTCCTGTCCCGTTACAACATTCCGTAATTTTGGTGCCCCCCCTTTTTTTCCTTGTCTGTTTTTCACATATTCCAGGTAATCTCATAACCCCTCTAACGGAAGTTTTACTCCTACCGACTATGTTACCTACTTGCAAAACTTACCAGACCGCTGATCAAAATCGGGTAATGGTCACATTGGCCATAATGTATGTATGCGGTACTTACTCCTCGGGACCTCGGGACCTCGGGAATGGGTTTTACAAACTACTACATATGCGACAATTCTAGAATTAGACATAATAATGAACAATACTGGTTCTTATGGTTAATGAGTAATTGTATTTGGTTAATAAGAATTTGGGTGAAGTTGTGCTGAAAATGCTGACCACGTAGAGCAGTTGTAACCGTACAAGCCCCTGACTAACGTAATTCAAATACCTAGAAAAGACGCGTAAATAATACGAGTGGCTATTCTCCTATCCCAGTAAGCTAAGGAGGTACTTGGCACAACCACATGGACCGATGTTATGTGCCTGGCAAAATGGCGTCTGTTTTTTGACGGCATTCTGCATGGGTAACTATTGAAGTTGGTGTTTCACAAAACAGTTACAGATGGGTAGATTTTTGTCGGAGCCGGTAAATTTTCTCCTAGATAGAGTGGCGGCGTATTGGATTAATATTATTAGAAAACAGGGGCTACCTACCTGGGTTATAATGGTTCGATAGATATCCCCTTTCTGACTGGGAATTTAAGGTATGAATTGCAACAGCCGACCCATGCCTTTTTAGTCAGAGACGTTTACTAATAACACGACTCGTTAGAAGACATGAATGAAATGAGGAATCGGAGCCGTTTACATAAGAAAAACAATAATTTTGATGTAATCGTTGTCAGCACAGTCGATCCCAACGTTGGAACGAGGAAAGGTAGCTGATACAATAGCTTATAGGATTAAACTATTTGACGATTTATTTCCTTCATTTGTCAGCTTTGTGGTCGGATAAAGTCGCCAAGAAGAGATCATATCCCAGACGCGTCCGGCATTAACAGTGACACGGTAGGTATAGTCTCTAGTCAAGACCTTTTAACAGTCGTATTCTCTCTAAGGTTAATAATTAGAAAATGAAGGAAGACAAGCTAATCATAATCAATCTTTCAACTCGGGATATACAGTATGAACGGTCAAAGTCCATCAATCTTCCAGCGACGTTCCAATATCCGCGTAACGCACCCAGTAAAAGCCCCAATCAAAGAAGCAAGAAGAGCGCCGCTATCACCGACAGCCAACCCCAAGTCCAATTCCAACACCGAGAAGACGACGCAGCATTCCCGAGCCCGCTCCACTGATACCCAAACGTCACATTCTGGACGACAGCCTGGTTGTGGCAATTTCCCCCGACAATATCCACGTTTCTCAAATCGTCGGGCGTGACGAAGAACATATACTGCCTCTGGTCGATCCCCTTGAAGCCCGAGGTGTCGTAGGGGAACAGGTCCGAGCTGTCCGTTGCTGATGTGTTGCGTAGGAATATACACTGTACCTGTCCCGGGTAGTCGTGCACTAGCTGCGGGTAGTCCTTCATGACGTCTGAGTTGGACGTGTCGGCCATAAGGACAAATTTCCGCTGCGGAAAGGTTTGGAAGACCTTGTCCAGTAGCGCCTTACGTATTGATAGCGTCGCTGAAACGTCCGAAAAGTTCAGCGGCCGCGTATCGAATGAGCCGAGGGGGTACGTCTTGTAGATGAATCTGTGATGTGGTTAGTTCTAGCCAGCACTCCTTACTAGTGACGCCTCTAGAAGCCCAATGGCGCGAACGAACTTACTCCATGTAGTTCCTCGTCGCCTGCTCCGGTGTCGTGGTGAGGTAATGAAAGTGGAAATTCGGGATCGTGGCAGACCAGTTGGCGTAGATGTCCGGCATATTCCTCCAGGGAGTAAATTCTCGTGCGAATGAGTTTAAAAGACCTTCCTTTGGGTCATAGATCTTGGTGACACGGAGAATGTCATCAATATCAGAGATTATCGTAAAGCCTGTTGGCGGCACCAGGTAGGCCGTCGCGTTTCCTGTGTCGGTTCCCCTGGCGTACATGTTGAGAGCCTGAATGGATGAAGTTTCATCGCCGGCCATCAGGTGTCCATTATTGGGGCCAGTTATGTTCTGAAGGACGACGAAAGCGTCAAAGTCACCTTCATTTGTTGTTTTATACGGAAGATCGACGGATTGCGCACCGCCCTCCTGGTTTTTGTTAGTCTTCTGACAATACGTAGTTCATTCGTATCTGTACCAACTCACAGCATTGACCACGCCGCCGCTTGCATTCGGACGAACGTCAACATCATTCTCGAAGTCGATAGTGACATTCAAATCTCCCTGCTGGACGACAAAGATTGAAGCTGTCAAATTTCGAGCTTGCTTTTGCTCTGGTTCGGACAGCTCATCTATATCTACATCGATGAGAAACACATTGGCGAGATCATCGAGTTTCTTTTGCGAGATATCAGGTTGCTTGTATACGTTTCCATGCACTCGAACGTTCCATCCTTCTTCGGTCCAGTTCGCGTATGCTCTAAAAAGCACACTTCTTGTTAGCGGGGGGCTCGTCACAGCGGTGAGCTATTACAGTCTATCCTTACGGGATATTTAGAACCTGAGTCGGCTTAGCATCTAGGTCCGAGTTATGGATTCCAAGAGAGCTCGCAACAGCTTCACCACTAGGGAAGTCTTGGAAGAACTGTGGTACGCCTGATGCTACATAGCTGGAGACATCGCTCCCAAGGCTGTCTATTATGCTGTGAATGTAACTTCCGGGTTCGAAGCGGCGGTTTACTTCTACTCGGTTACTTAGGTCGGGAGCCGGTGTAATCATAGGATGTGGAGGTGGTATAGCCAGGGCTGTCCTGATCGAGAGTAGCGATAATAGCCATATCGATACTAAACGACACGATAATACTGCCATTTGCGTTAGGTATTAGATAGTAGGTAATGTTTAGCACTTATTGTCATGATAATTGGGATGTGGGATGTGGGCCGACAATGTCACAATGACAGGATGTAAGTTTGAGGTATTATCTCGTCCAATCCATTAAAATTCATACTGCGTTAGGTACCTAATGTAGAGTATGATGGAGTAGGTGCGTTGTAGTACATATGAAGTGTTCCCTGTTTGTTAACCTTGTTTGTTCCTTTGTCCCTTATCATAGATAAGGACCCACATTAGCCCCATATACGTATTTATATGTATTATTAAAGCTAGCATTTTACAAATGCCTTAAAAAACCTCTTTAATATATTTTTATCTTAACCATAATCATTATAAGCTTATAATTGGTAACACTTTATTTTGTCTCGATTTTAAATTGTTAATATTAATATATGTACCGGAAAGTTTATTTTTTATACTTTTACGAAAAATTACTACTAGAAATTTTAGAAATAAAATTATTACCAAATAAAATTTATTCCTTTAAATATTTAAATTGTATAAAAACCACCCGATAATTAATTGGCAATTAATTAAATTGCTTTAAATTAAATATAACGTTAAATATTAATAAAATATTAATTTATTTTAAAAAAATTTATATTTTAATAATAATGTTATTTATACTTTTATAGCAATTTTATTATTTTAATTTATAAATGTTTAAAAAAGTAATTAAATACGTATTATATTTACTTTAATTTTTATAAACTAATTATTTACATTTTATTATTTTAAAAAATAATAATATTATTATTACTTGTTTTATTTTTTTTATACAATTAAAAGATATAATTATATCCGATATTAACGTTATTTATTTTGTCAAATGGGTTAAATTTAAAAAAAAGTTTAAAACGTTTTTAAAAAATTAATAAAAAAAGTTTATTAAATTTTAAAAATAATAAACTTATGCTTTGTTTATAAAATTAATTTTTTTTTTTATATTTATTATTAAGTAATTGTAACAATTAATTAAATAAGTATAAAGTTTTAATATTATTTTAATATTATTATAACCATTATATATTAGTTTATTAGATTTTAACGTTATTAATTTATAACCAACTATTTAATAACAATTATTAAATTATTAAAAAAATAATAATAATTTAAAAACGCTATAACGTTAAATTTAACTATTTTATTTAAACCTTTTTAAAAATATTAAATTAAATTTTATTATTTTTTCTTTAATCCTTATCCCCTCCATTAAATAATTATTAAAAATTAAACGCAAATTTAAATTTTTATTATTAAATATATTAAATTTTTTAAAATAAACAATAAAATTTTTATTTATTTTATTAAAAAATAATTAATTTAATTTTACCAAATAATTTTTATTTTTTAACTTTTTATAAAATATATCGAAATTTTTATTTTTATTTTAAACATAAAAATATATAATTATTAAAAAATTTATTTTTAATATATTTACTATAATTAACGCCATTATTTATTAAAATAATATAATTATTATTATATTTAATAATCCCATTTTAAAATTATTTATATATTTTTAATTTATATACTTAAAATTTACAAGTTTTATTAAAATTAGCCGTATATAAATATAAAGTCAATTTTAAAGACTAAAAAAAAGGATAAAGCCCAATTGTAACGACCTTGCCACAATCAACTTTATAACAGACATTATTGCTTAGGTATTTCGTTAAACTTTACCAAATAATATTTCCAATCTACCAGATAATAATGTTAATAATAACGGTTATTAAAACGGTAGTAAAATATTCTTAAATATAATTAAATTTTTTAATTTATTATAACTAAATCTTTATTTTACTAGTGTTATCCCATTTAAAAAATATATTATTTATATAAATATTTTTACGTTTATTTATTATTTAAAAAAATTTATTTAATTTTAAAAAAAATATAAAATTAAAATAATATAATTTTTTTATTTATAATATATAATATAATAATAGTTAATTATAAAATTTATTAATATAAAATAAAACGTTTTAATTATAAAAAATATAAAATATATTTATAATAAATTTATTGCAAAATTTTATAAATATTTAAATATAATATATTAAAACTTTAAAAAATAATTATTTACATTTTAAAATATAAAAAACGGAAAATTTTTTCGTTTATTTATTAATAATATTATTTATAATGTAAAAATATATAATTATTTTTTAAAAAATTAATTAAAATATATTTTTAAAACTTTTAATTATAAAATTTAAAAATAATTAATTAAATTTATAATAAATATAATATTAAAATAATTTTTTAAATAAATAAATAAATAAAAGTTTATTTTTTAATAAGAAATAAAATTAATTTATTTTTTTAATAAATATAATAAAAATAATTATAATAAATAAAATTTAATTTTCTTTTATAACTAATATTAACAAAAAAACTTAATTAATAACCAATTTAACTTTAATTAAAAGAATAATAAATAACTTTATTAACTTTATTAAAAGAAAAATTATTAATAAAATTTTGGTTAATTTATTAATTTTAAAAATAAAAATTAAAAATTAAATATAAATTAAAAAAATGGGAAATATTTTTAACCTTTTTAATTAAAAGCTTATATAAATAATTTCGAAAAAAAATTTTATAATTTTAAAAATTATGACTTAAAAAAATGTAAATATGTTAATAATAATAAAGACTTTGGCATTATATTTTTTGGAAATATTTTAAATAATTTTGGTCTTTTTCTAATAAATAATAATAGTAAAAATATAATTAATTTCGGAATAATTATTTGGAAATATAAAGTATTTAAATATAAAATTTATAATAAATAAATTAACAATTAAAATAAATTCTTTTATTATATTTAATAATAACATCTTAAACTTTTACCGAAAATATCTTTAACTAATAAAATAATAATAAATATATTAATCGAAAATTAATAAAACTTAATATTTATAACATTTAAAATATTACCTAATTAACTATATATTAAAGAAATTAATATTGCCATTGTTATAAACTTTATTTTTTTAAAATTTCATTTAATTAATAATATAATAAAAATTCTTATTTTATTAAATAATTTATTAACATTAATTATAAGAAACTTTAACAATTTATTTAAAACCTTTAAAACATTATCCAAAACTAATATACCCATTATATAATCTTTAATTAATTTTTTTCCAAATATTAAAATCGATTTTATATATAAAACCAAAACATATTTTAAATTTTATATTATTATATTTTTTAAAATAAAATATTAAAAAAATATTTACGCAAATATAAACTGTACATGCATTATTACAAATAAGGCATAAATATAACGTCATTATTTAAATACCAAAATTTAAATAAAAATAACGTTAATACTTATATAAAAAATTACTTTAAACCACATTATAACATTAAAATATATAATTATAAAATTTTATTTTAAAAAAATATATAATAACTAGTTTATTATAACAACATTTTTGCAAAAAATTACTTTTATCAATAACCTTACTCTTTATATGTTATTAAAAACCAATATCTTTAACGCCAAATAAATTAACATTTTCCTTTTAAAAAAAATAACAATTATTTAATTTTGTAAAATAATAATTTCCTTATTTATCACATTTAATTTAAAGAAATATAATAAAACACAAATTATTAATACTTATTATATAATTATAAAGCCATATTATTATAAATATTTTAATATTAATTAAAAAATTAATTTCGATTAAAATTTAATTTTTAAACTAATTAACAATTAAATAATTTACTTTATATCTTTAATAAATAATAAATGCAAATAAATAATCGTTTATAACAATTCTTTAAAACTTATCATTATTTTTAAAAATATACTTATAAAATACCTTATCTTAATAAATTAAAAATATAAAAAATATTATATTACAAATAATAAAATTATTAAACTTATTATTTAAAAATTTAAACCTTTTAAATATAATAACCGGATATTTGGTTTATCTACCAAATTTATTTTTAAAACAATTAAATTTATAAAATATTTTATTAAAATCATTATTTATAAAAACCCCGATTATTTTAAAAAATTTAATAAATTATACGATATAATTACCAAATTTAAAAATATATTTAAAAATAAAAGATTTATATATATTTACAATAATAAACTACCAATTATTAATTTTAAACTTAATTAAAAAAAACTCATTTTAAAAAAATATAAACTTTATATTATTAACGCTAAAAATTAAAAAATTATTAATAAAATAATTAATAAGTTTATTAAACAAAAATAACTTTATTAAAATTAAAAACCAATCTTTTTTTCCATATCAATCTTTATTATTTATAAAAACATTTTTATCCTTAAAAAAAAAGGCAAAATTAAAAAAAAAAGTTACATAATTATTAATATTTACATTATAAATGCAATAATATTAAACAATAAATATCTTATAAAATCTTAAAAATTTATATTAACCAAATTTTACAAAAAATTATTTGGTTTAATATTAAACGCACTTTTATTTTATTATTAATAATAAAATTACTTAAAAACTTAATAAATTTTAATAATTATTACGGCATAAAGCTAATATATTTTTAACATTTTAATTATAAAATATAAAAATAATAACGTTTATATATAATAATAAATAAATATTATCTTTAAGCCAATTAAAAATATAAACGTTTATTGTAATAATATTTACGTTATATTAAAAACAATTAACGTTTATATAAATAATTTTAAAATTATATTTATTGTTATAAAATTATAAAATATATTTATTAAACCAAATAAATCTTTTATTAAATTTTTTAATAATATTATATTTAATCGGTTAATTAATTTTTTTGGTTTTTTAATTACAAAAGAAAAACTTACAGCTATTACTAAAATTATATTTTTAAATTTTTTAAAAAATTTGGAAATATTTATTAACTTTATAAAATATATACAAAACAATATCTTATAATATACTTAATTTATAAAATCCCTTAAAAAATAAAAAACTTTTTTATTTTATTTAAATTTACAATTAACTTTTTTTAAATAAAAACGTAAAAAATAAATATTATATATTGTTATTAAAATACCTTTTAAAAAAGAACTTATATCTTTTTATAATATTAAAGACACATTAATAAAATATATAATTCTTTATTTCTTTTTTTTAATAAAAATATTATATATTAATTTTAATATTTTAAAGATTAATATTAATATTTACATTTATTATATTGCAAAAAATACCTTATTAAAACTTTTTAAAAATAATAAATTAATTATATATATCTTTTATATTATAATTAAACCAATTGCATTTTTTTTTAAAATTTTTACCGCCGTTAAAAAGAAATATTAACCAATAAAAATAAAAATTTTAAATTTCGTTTAAATTTTTAAAAAAATATAATAATATATTATTATTATTTAAAAAAAAGTTTATTTTTTTATAAACCATAAAATTATTTTTAACATAATAAAATATTCCAATTTTATTAATTTTATAACAATAAATAATAAAAATTTACGTTTTATAAAAACTTTTAAATATATCTTTAAATTTATTTATATAATTTTATATAAACTTAATAAATTATATATTATATTAAACGCATTATTTTATTTATTAATAAATAATTTTTTAAAAAAATAATTAAACCTTTAACTTAAAAACTTAAACATCTTTTTAAATAATTTTAATAAATATTAAACGTTATTTACTTAATTATAATTAAATAATTTATAAGTTTTATTTAAAAAAATTTTATTAATAATATAATTAATATTTTTAAAATTTAATAATAATTTTTTCGTTTTATAAAACGTTTAAAATATTATATTAATTTAAATTACCTTAGAATTTAAAATAAAAATATAATAAAAATATTATTAAAATTTTAAATAACAAATAATCTTTAATATTATTAATGCCAATAAATACTTTAATCTTTAAAATGTAATAAATCTTTTATTTTATTTATAAAACGGCTTTATTTAAAAATATGGTAAAATTTATAATAAATTTTGCATTTTACGGAATTATTATACGGAAATATTTAAAATAATATATAAACCCAATTATTTTAAGTATAATTAATTAAAAAATTATTTATAATTATTTATTTTTAATTAAAAAAAATTTGCAAAATATATGAAATTATATTTAAAATGTATAATGTTATGCCTGTAAACGTATAAACTTTATAAATTATTATAATTTATTATTAAATTATTTTATCCTTTTTATACGATTATTTTGGATATAATTTTTGGTTTTTTTAAAAATTAAAAAAACTATAATATATTTAACATTATCGTAAATAAATTCATAAAATCGGTAATTTTAATTACCGGAAAATATAATTATAATACCCTTAAATGAGCTAAAGTTTTTAACAGTTAATTATTTAACGTAAAATAAAAATTACCGAAAATTATTATATTAAATAAAGATTTTAAATTTTTATTAAAATTTTAAAAAACGTTTTAAATTATTTGTAAAATAAAATTGTTATATGTAATAATATATTACCTTTAAATAAATGGATAAATTAAAAAATTTATTTTTTTTATAAAATTTTATTTTTATTATTATTTCCAAGGTTTTAAAAATATAATAATATAAAAACGTTATTTATTTTATTTTTAATATAAATTAAATTTAACGAAATTATCGATAATAAAAGTTAATTTTTTTAAAATATTATACAGATTTTTACTAAATTTAATAACTTAATTTTTTAACATATAACATTAATTTTTATTATTAATAAAAATAAATATTTATAATGTAATTATTATGGTAAATATATTTGTAAAATATTATTACGATAAAAAATATAAACTTATATTTTTTTAAATAAAGTAATAAGTTTTTTTACGCTTTTATAAAAGTTATAATATTTTAATAACGGCAATTTTTAGCTGTAAATTTAATTAATAATATGTTAGACCTTTTAAAATTATTAAACGAATCGGTTGTTTTATTTATTATCTCGATTTTTTATAAAATTTTAAAATTTATAATATAATTTTTATAAATTATTTTGAACCGGTTTTTTTAATAAACGTTTTTAGACGTTAATTATTATATATAAGAAAAGTATTATTAAAAACTTATTATTATAAAATTATTAATAAAAACGGGAATAAAAATAAATACTTTATAAAATATATTAAATTTAATAATAAATATATACGATAATTATTAAAAAAAGAAATAAGAAAAGATTTTAAAGAATTTTTAATAAATTATAAATTAAAATATAAAGTTTAATATTAATTATGGTATTTTAATAAATTATAATTAACTTTTTTAACGAAATTATTTTTAACATTTTTGTTAAAAAACGATTATATTGTTTAAATAAATTATTATTATAATGTAATAAAGATATTGCATTTTTTTTTTTTGGGGTGGCAATTATTATAAATAAAGACCTATATTAGCCTTATATACGTATTTATATGTATTATTAAAGCTAGCATCTTGCAGATGCCTCGAGGAACCTCTCTAATATATCTTCATCTTAACCATAATTATTGTAAGCCTACATCCCTCCAAGACCTTGGCTATGACATCACTGGGTACCGATCGTCATTTGTGGTCCCTTGCATGTGTTCGTGGGAAGGTGGCAGGGTGGAAAGTCCAAACCGGAATGGGAATTAGAAATTTCCCCATCAAATAAGGTTAATTTCTTACGGCCGGCCCCGACTCCCGAGTGCAACCTTTCGGCCCCGCTCCTCCTAATTGAATTCTGATAAGCATTTCATGAAGGTTGACTTGTACTTTATTTTGTGACAACTGCAAGCTTCCCGTTTAACCGTCACTAGTAGTCGCACTAATAAATTCATTTTAAATCTAACAGTAATTCTCTTGATTAACTCAATTACCGACATGTCTTCAACATATGACGAGGCCCTTATGTTCTAATATTGCAGAAGTCCAGCTTTTTCTGCTTCGTTGAGCCCACAACTCGGGAAGAATCGTAAACCCACGTGATATATTCGCATAACCTACCGTACTGTATATTCTCTTTAGCGCCGCCGTAAAGTATTGTCGATGGTCCTCTGAGACGCTTTCGGCAGCGGCTACGAAGATTGGCCATACGACAGCGTGGGACCCTGGTGCGGTCTGGTCAAGCTGCTCATAGAGAGTCCTAATTTGCTGCACGCGATCTTCCATATGATATTCTAGACTGCGCGAGGATATTTCTGATTCCGCTCTCGTCGTATATATCTCCCCCGCGAGTCGAAACAACTGTTCGTACACGGGGAAGTATTTCGAGAAATCGTAACCCTTGCGTTGTGGAAGGTTCTTTTGTTGCTGACAGTTCTCGAGGCCGTGCGCGTAGCGCTTAAACATGGCAACCGGATCACTTGACATCCGTGGAGGACGAATAGGTCGAGCTTCGAGAGAAGAGAATGGCTGCGTAAAGAATCCTATGCTGTTTATTGTAAGTTTTCCAGATTTAATGTATATTATAGGGTTGTTCATCATGGGGAAAGGGGGTAGGTACTGGACAAGTCACTAAGGGTTGAACTAACATGCAAGACTGGAAATACAAGAACTTCTCTAACTGAGTTGCTGGTTCTTTCAGAGGCCCTCGGGCCTCGAGAAACACAGTGAGGAGCTTGTATAAAGTCGATACATCCTCATGACCTATCACGAGATCGGCCACTATCAGAAGGACAAGGGTCGCCCAGGTAGTCTCGCTCAGATCAGGGCTCACCGCCGAAGCTTCGGAGAGCTTACGGATCAAGCTAGCCCTCACAATCTCAGCGGGGGCACGAAGCTGTGGCCTCTGTGACGAGAGATGGAAGGCCGATGCGATACAGACGGCTTTTTGAACGAGAAGTTCATTGTACGCTATAGGCAGTATATGATGTCTGTAACCATTCGTCTCATCGTCGAATAGTACCATGAAGGGAGACACGTGCGCAGTAACTTTAACTGTCAGTACCAGGTTGATAGCTCTGATTGTGAGAAGATAGAAGTTTACAATGCAAGAAGTGTAGACGGATTTTGGGGTCCAAGTCTGACACCACAGTTGGTACCGTCGTCGTCAAGTCTGAACAATCGAGTGGCAATAGGTTGTGTACTATCGGTGGCGCATTCGAAACTCGTGATGCGGTCTTTAATCTACTCGAACATTCGATCCACTTATAAGGTCTTCTTGGTCGTTTCGATCTAGTATGGTCTCCTTCTGAAGATGACACCGACAGTAGGCTAGAGCTGGTCGCCCCTTTGGCAAAGCGATATCTTACACCATACCCGGGGCATTTTAGATTCTTTTTGGTGCATTTACCGCACTGATTTTCGGTCTTGTCACAGACGATACGTCGCTTGACACAATTATAGCAGGCTAATCGTTGGGGTTAGACCAGCGTCACATAGTTCGCCGGATGGAGTATGAGAGAAGAGTAATAGCCTCACTCACATTTTTTATCATTCCCCTGATCTGCCATTGTCTTTGGTGCCTTTTTCTAGATTCAAGTTGTTGTCTCCTACATAGAAGATTACGCGTATATATGCAGCCACCACCTCTGCGAGACTCGAGATATGTAAGATCAATAGGGGTAAATAGAAGGACTTAAAGAGGTGGATTTAGCGCACGTACAACACGCGATAAGAAAACTCGTATATCATGAAAGCCTAAGGGACCCGGACTTTTAAATACTTTCCGTTATCAATACAAGCATCCTGAAGCTGTACTCATAATGCTTGAATTTAGTCATTAAGTGGGATGTATATACTATTTCCAGACACATCTACTTGGTGTAACATACCAAATTGTAGCCATGATCGTCAACGAGCTTCAAATAGACTTAATTATTACGCTATTACTATATATCTACGTAAGCCTTAAGGACACGTAACTAGAGACAACTACTTAGTTAAGGTAGTTATAGTTACCGAGCAGATAAAGTCCGGTCGTCTATAGTCAGTCGTAAAAGTAGCCTATTGCTCGTCCTCCTAATTATAATATAGCATGACTAACACATGTCATACGAGGTAGCTGGCGTCAGCGTAATGCCGATCCCATAATAAGAACTCATATCAGTTCCTCATGGCCCTTAGCTCATCCAACACCTCCTTACTCACCCTGCCTCCCTCCTCAATAGCGCCGTCAATGCAACCCCTCCAGCCCGCCGCCCAGTCCCCGCTCGCAAATAACACGTTCCCGTGCCTTTCTCGGAGCGTGGTAAGGTACTTTGTGGCCATGCCCGGTCCCAGCCACGCCCAGGTGCCCTTGGAGAACTCGTCTTCGTTCCAGTCGTGGAAGACAAGACGTTCTACGACTGTGCCGTCGGCGAGGCTACGGAAGGCCGAGAGCGAAGCTTCTGGGTCTTCTTTCGGCTGTAACCTCGTGCCAAGACCCACGATATGCGTGTTACCAGCGGGTGTCATGCCATCGCCGGACATATAGTTTAGACCTCCGGCGGGATGTGTAAGGGCACTGACGGACCGGAGATATGGGCCCTGGGTTTCTGCGTTGACTTTGACGACGAAATTGATGTGCCCTTTCTCTGATGCTGCAAGTTTAGCTGCCGGGAGAGCTGGGGAGAACGAGATGTCCTTCAGAACGTTAAGCGGTACAGTGCAGATTAGTCGTCGGGCCTTAAAAACAGTCCCGTCGCGTACTGACACCTCGACTTGGTCCCCGTGATCAGCCACCGCGGATACTGTGCTCAAGAACTTATAGCTCAATTGACCGGTACCCGCGGCCTCGTCAAAGAACCGCCGAGCGAAATACGACTGTCCACGCGCCAGCTTGAAAGCCGCACTTGCAGCCAGAAAATCCATGCAGTTATATCCGCCGAGCGCCCAGCTGCGCAGAACTTCCCAAAACGAGGCGTCTTTTAGATCGCTGCCACAGAGGACAGAAAAGTACACTTCTAAGATAGCACGCTCTATCGGCTCGAGCTGGTCTCCTAGCTCCGCGATCCGATCGGCTATAGACATCTTGTCGAAGCGCTCGAGAGCCTCGGTGTTGAAATGCTGGTTATAAGGGAATGGGATGACGGCGCGGCCGCGCTGCCCGTCGACGTCAACGAACTTGTTGAGTACGGCCTCGAGCTTCGCAAACTATACGGTACGTGGTAGTGAGCACACAGCAACGCTTCTGGAACACACCCTTCGAGTTACTTCTTGGACATACCTCTTCTTCGTGGCCCAAGGTGATAGTATCATTCCCTACCCGAATGATAGTCTTACCACCTTCTAAGCTAGGCGAGATCTCGAGTTCGTTCGTAAGATTATATCGGGAAAGTTCCCGCCAGACAAACGGCTGATACCAGTGTACCCAAGTTCCACCCAGCTCGAACGGGTAGCCCTCGATGTCAGTTGAAAAGGTACGACCGCCGATACGGTCTCGTGCTTCCAGAAGCAGAACTTTGTAGCCAGCGGTTGAAAGATCACGAGCAGCGGTCAATCCTGCGTAGCCCGCTCCTATGATTACCGCATCATAAGGGTCTTTCTGGTCGGTAGATATCAAGTTCGAAGGTGGCTGGACTACGCCAACTGAATGGACGCCTGCTGCTAGGCCGCCCTCCTTAGTCCAATGGAACCCGTCGCGGGTAGTGTGAGTAGTCGAGTTTGCCATATTGATAGTTTGAAGAGCTCACACTCAACTAACAAGTTTCCTAGGGGCCTATAATGTAATCATGTTTCCTCTCGCCCTGCGTAGACTATTGCCCTTATATATTCGCATGCCATCCTCTCGCCTTGGCTATCCATTGAGCCGTTGGCGTTTCACCTGAATAGGAGCCTATGCCGGAGGCTCCGTCTCCAAACAGTCGTATCTTTCTCATTATTCTTTCCCAATTAAGAAAATTATTAGAATATGATCTACTAGCACGGAGAGCCTCACTTCCGGTAGTTCTACCATGGATAAGCTAAGGGCGCGGGCTATTTTCTCACTTTTATTGCCGTTTTAGGAAAATATGGAATAGCGTCGAGTGATACGCCCGCAGGCCAGCCGTTGGCTCCTTAATTCGATCAAAAGAACTTACACCGCATGCGCATCGCTACCACCGTACTGTTCCTCATCCGACTAATCGAGATTCGTCTAGCTAAGTACCTACCCTTGTTAGTGAAATGCTTTCCATATTGGATACTAGATTCTGTTGAATCAACTCACGTATCCTTTCGGGAATTAGATGTTTAGTTTCCTAACCAAAATTTGAGTTAATTCTGAAGTTTTGGAGCATGAGTATAGTTAATATATTATCACTAAACTTGTTCTCTTACGGACTAGTTAGGCTTCTGCTACGGTGCAACTCTATAGCATCATTACCGAGATGAAAGAATAGGTAGATGTTAAATCACCGAAAGAAGATACAAAATTATAATCGCTGTTTTGTATTATTATCGTCCTACCCACCTACCAATGATGCCTCTCTTGGGAGACAGGTAAGTACATGACTGACTCTATCCTACTATAGCTGCAGTCCAACGAGACCGCGGATAAAACCCACAAAACTAGAGTTAGCTACAGCGTCTAAGATGTAGACTGCAGTCTCCTACTAGGTACAGTTCTTCAGCGGACTAGAATGTGTCGGTCTATAGTTCGTCGGACTCAAGCGAGTAGGTCTCAAGCGTACGACACTAGAGCGGATCACACGTGAGCGTTCCGATACGGAACACGATGGGTCAGGGGGACTAGGGCTGGAGCGTACATCCTACGTACCCTCCACCTTTATCTTACTTCGTGTAGAAGCTAATTCGTCCTGCTTGTAATGCGTTAGTACCGAAATGAGTGCCCTGCGCTTTAGGGGTGCAATATGCAAAAACTTACCTCGGCTTTCCTCTTTCCCGTCACTGGCTCAGGGGTGCCCCTAGAATACGCTGGCGTGTTTCCGCCATCCCTAAATGCCTCTTTATAACAGCTGGCATGATATATCTTCTTGCCGACTTTCATAGTGTCAGGCCACACAAACTCCTGTTGCAGGTCTAGCCATCTCGTCTCAAACTTCTCTTGGCAAATGCTACAAACGCTGTTTGCTAAACTAGGATCGTCAGGCACCGGAATATACTGCAACTGCGGCGGTTTAGGAGCGGCGCCGCCTGATGCTGAATTGGAATCTCCGGATGGGGCCACATAGTCCTCGTCGACGATCTCCCTCGTTTTAATCCAATCCTAGTCACATTAGCATTATAATTACGTGACACAGTTCAGCAGAATACTTACTACTTCATCGACTAACCAGCTCCGATGTTGTCCTCGCTTCTCAGCTTCGGCCATACGTTGGTTGACCCGGAAATGCCAGTCCATATGGGCCGTCTTTTTCTTCTTACCCTCCTCATTCTTCGGGAACCGTCGTCCGCACTGTGTACATTGAGGTCCTAGAGATTCGAATAGGAAAGGCAATAAGTGAGGGCGAAACCTACAAGCCCATTAGTTTAAATTGAGAGAGATTTTTGAAATAAACGTACTGTTTGAGAGACGATGGTTTCAGAACGATATCACTTGTAAGACCCTCAAGAGTAGAAGGACGAATATGTTGAACGACCGGGACCATAGCCGGGGTGTTGAAAGCAACAGGAAAGGAATTTGAAGGTGTTGGACGAGAGACAGGTGTCGAACTACTAACCGGTGCCGTACCCGGAAGTAAGCCGGCTTGTCTCAACATATTCATTAGTGCCATAGGATCAGAAGGAGGTGGTGGCGGCTGGTGTGTAGTGACTGGTTTCTTAGATTCAACCGGTTTTGGTTGTGGTAGCGGAGGCGGAGTGTGAACAGCGGCAGGTGTAGGAGGGTGATAAGGTGCAGATGCTTGCGGCGTGGCAGAATTTCGTGCCATTAGGGCTGCCAAGGCACCTGCACCGAATAATGAATCTAAAGAAACCTTGGGCGCCGGCGCCGGCGGAGGAGCTACTGCTACGGGTGCTGGTTGTGGCTGAGGGATAGGTGTAGGAGTAGGTGTTTGTGATGGGGGTGCTCTTATAGTCACGGCGAGATCAGCAATTTGATTCTTAACAAGCACTAACTGATCCTGTGGCAGGTTCTGGGTTTGAAGTATAGTTTGCAAATCCATGAGCGCCTTCAACCTTGTCTGTATACTAGGGTCATGCGGGTTCAATGCGATTTGGGCCTTGGAGGCCGTAATCAGTCTCTGGATGTCATTATTCAAAGCATCTATGCTGATTCCAGCCTGTGGTACGCCATAGCCTCCTAGCTGGGGGGGTTGGAAGGCCATTAATCCTGGCGTAGGTTGTGGTGTAGATCTGGCCGGCTGTGGTTGACTCTGAGCAGGATATTAGTAACAATCAAACTACATTTAGGGTTGAGAGCTTACGGGATGCGACGGGTAGGTGTTCGGAGGTAACTGACTCGAGCTACCATAAGACGGGCCGTTTGGGTTGGGTACAGGAGCCTGAGAGGGATAGCCGTTGGCCTGAGGAGGCGGGTGGTAGCCTGGCGGAGTAGGCGTCTCGCGATATGGCACCCCCTGGCTTGCTGGCCTACCACGGCCAAGCAACTGTTGCTGACCTTGTTGATGCTTCTGCTGCGCTTGTAGGTGTGCTGTTCTCGCCTTGATAAGTGCGTTCTCAATGGGGCGTGTAACATCCGGAGGGAAAACGGGTCGGGTATCGAGCGAGCCGGCAACGGGTCCCTTCCAGGTCCTAAGCATCTCGTCCATCTTGCGTCGGGTAGGCATATCGACTGATGCGTAGGCATCCATGAATGTCTGATATAACTTTCGGCCGAAGTAAAGCGTATATGGCGTACCCACATTCTTTACGATGGAGTCGAGAACATAGAGGGCAGGTAGTTTCTTTTGAGGAACAACCTAGAAGAATATTAGCATAATACTCCTAGATATCTTTAAGCAAACTAGTAGAGAATACGGCAAAGGGACAACGAGGGTACCCATCTACCATGTAGTCGGCGCAGAGAAAGAATTAACCCACTCGTTTGATGTGATCCTGAAGAGCGCCGGAAATAGCATGCGCGTGTTCGGTGTTTTCCCTTGCAATTACAGTCAAGGTGCTAATTTCGGTCCTATCGAAACTTTGAAGATCTTCAAGAGCATCTCGAAAGTCCTGGGCTACCGCCTCAGACTCGGAGTCGTTGGACATGATTGCTTAATATATGCAAGCACGCGACGAATGAATCGATGGAAACGAACTAGCGAGGAGGGCCTCACGATGTATAAGATGAAGAGAGTTCAGACCGTGATTTGCCGCTTTTCTCCCGCTTGCACGTAGAGAACAATGACCCAGTTCTAAGGTTGTATAGATGTCACAAAGGCAGATGCAGATAGATGCCCCTCACTCGATATTCTCACCAGAAATAAAGGCACGAGAATTGTAAGATAGGACCACTCCTGCCCGGTTCCACCAGTTTGCCAAAGTGGCCACGAGAAACTGCCTGGTGGTAGGTATTAAGAGATTATGAGAGCTCAAAACATTGTCTTTTCCAGGATCCCTCTACGCCAACGGGCTACGGGACTAGCCAGTATGCAATCCTCTATTTCCCTCAAGCGATACTTAATCTTGTAGACACCTGGTGAATGGGTTGGATGCGATCGCGAATAAATGGAGTGGTAAGGTGGTTGAAGTCACCTTGCTGGAAGACGGGAATCCGATTGTAGACCAGTTGAAGATTGCCGTACCTCGAGGATATTAGAAGTTGAAAGCTGTCGCAAGTAATCCTGTTAGGCGGCTGCCACGAGAAAATCGTAGAAGGAGTGGTTTAATTCTATGTGAATTGAATCGTCATGTTGAACTCGCGGCGATTAAGAAGAATAGAAAGTTGTAGGAGAAAGATGCATGCTAGGTGTTTAGCTTGTTGACGAAATGTACATTGGTGGAAATCGAATAATGAGCAAAGTTCAGGTACTCATCGGTACAAGTTACAAGATCTACCGGATTACCTAATATTGCAGCTAGATCGGTCACGGTCACGTGCCCAGAATATAATCGTGCTTAGCTGGGTACATCCATACCACTACATAAAAGAAACCTACATCATCACATACCTAACGGTTACATACGTATGCAGTTCCATGATACATGTAGCAGCCCCTTGGCATGGAATCATTTACCTGAGCGCACGATTGATCTAATCCGAATCACGCACAAATACCTATTAAATTATGAATACGTGTAATGGAGAAATCAAATTGAATGCCTATGTACCTGTCATTGCGTTGCTTTCCTACCACCTAACCTAATTATGACTGTTACTAATGTATGCTACAGTAAAAGCTCTTTAAAAGCAAAATGTCCGCTGTCCAGAATCTGGGTATATCCGAAATTACAAAACCAAACGCCTCGTCTCAGTGAACACCGTGCCCTATGCTAAGAATATGCGGACTATGCATCCCGTCCAGTCCACTCTAAATCCTGTTCCCGACAAAACGATCAAGATGACTTGCTTCGCTATACCGGCTGGATCTTGATCCGGCATTGTAGGCAGGGTGTAGAGCAGTAGGGGGACGCTTCACATCGGGGATTATAGGACTGCTGCGGTCGTCGATGGGGAGCTGGTCATCGCTAGGTCCGTACTCAACATCATGAGGAATCGGGTGGCTAATCTTGGGCTTGGAATTACCCCTGTTGAAGATAGAAAATCTACTCTTGGCCTTTTCCTTACGAATCGAATTGCTTCGGTAGCTGTCGTATTCTTCGGTGAAGTTGACATCTCTGGTGGTCGCACCATTGTTGCGGACCTCTCGAGCATGAACGCCGCTCGCCCTGTTGCTGAAGACGAGCGAGGCAATGACGTTAGTAACGCCAAACGCGATTGCGATGATGCCAGATGCCATGATAGCTTGCCAAACCTGGAATGGTACGTCCTTGTTGTTGTAAGTATCATTGCTGAGCGCACCAAGATGGTGGCATCCCATAAGGATCATAGCGATGCCGAGCCAGGTGAAGCCGCGGTCTTCGCCGATTGCTGGCCAGTTTTGACTAATCATCGCCTTACCCATTTTGATCGGTAGCTCCGTCCAGAACAGGAGACCGGCGACGGCGATAACGAAGGCGAGGGAAACGTCGTTGAAGAACTGAAAGCCGTTGGGCATCTTGGCGAAGAACATCATGATCCCCGAGACGAAGATAACGGCCAGGAGAACAGCAAGATTACAACCACGGATGACCTGAAGGATAATAAAGGCGGAGCCTTGGAATCCGGAACTAGACTTGAAGCCCATGATGTTGGTGATTTTTGCGATATCTAGGGTCGTGTCCCTAGGAGTATAAGCATTAGTGTTGCGCAACTTAGGCGGCATAGTTGGAAATCTAAGAAATGGGAAACCAACTGTTGAAACTGCCAGCAGCTTGTTGTGAGTGTACTTTTTTTTTTCTTTGGTAAACCGGGGATCTGGCTCGCAGATCTATCGAAGTTGATGGAACGAAGGTGGTAGAAGTAAAGACGGTCGAATAAAAGAGGGTTGACGAAAGGTAGGCGTTGAAGGAAAACGTAAGGTACCGAATGGTATTGTTACGTTTTATAAAAGTTGATAACAATGGATTAGGCAGAAGGAATTGTTATTATGTACATCCGTCAAGGACAATGAGAACCCTTGTGAATCAAAGCCGATGAACAAGGAAAGTCGTGATGGGCCGGATGGCTCTGGGATTTTTAAATAGTAACGAAAAAAGAAACGCACTGAAAGAAGTGATGCGAGACGAGGAAAGAGGTTGTATTTAGGGACAATCCAAGAATGAAGAACTAATCAGTTCATCAGAGTATTATGTACTACCTATCTACAATTGTAGGTTGTGCATTGGGCAAGTCTCTTCGACCAATAGATTTAGTCGGGCGCGAATGTTCTCACGCTTGATGCTCGATCGAAGCCTGAGTATCCCTTGAAGTGCCCCTCGAAATGCCCCTCGAAGTGCCCCTCGTCAGGGTCGTCAGGGTCGTCAGGGAGGTCAAAGGGATTGGTAAACGCGTGTTCATGACCCAAGTAAGAAGCCGCAGAGTACAAAAGACATGGTACGATCTAGGAAATTATTGCTTGCATATTCTGAGGTGCGTATACCTTTCTAAGATTTGTATGGTGAATCCCCTTCCCTCAGACGGGTTAGATCTGCAACTGTCCCGGCGCTTGACACGAATGATAACCCTTAATGATCCACGTACTATGATACTAGGAAACCGGCAGCTAGGAAAATGGCATGGACCTGCAGCGGAAGATCACCATATCCAATGATTCAAAAATAGTCTATTTCCCGTTGAGCGAATACATCGTGAGAATTGGGCTATGACCCAAATTCTATTGGCTGTCAGTTAACGATTTTGGTTTCACATCGATTTTGGCCCATTGGCTAGACCCCACTAAAGTCTTTAAATGATAATTCATGGACACCATAGGAAAAGATCCTTCAGACATTCTGCTCGGATGATTTGGGAATAACTTCAGACTGCATGACTGAACCTTGGAGTAAATTAAGTACGAGGTATCTGATTATTTTTTGTCCTTGCAGTGATTCCTTCGAATTATTCTTTATTCTTCATTGTCCTTTAACAGGTAGGCTATTGTTCGCATCTCCATTCCTACAAAGGTTAGGTACTTTATGAGTAGATGACCTGTTTTTGTATACATTTAACGTGGATGTATGTAAGTACCTACCTGGGGTAAAAGTCATATCATCGCAATTACCATCGTAATTAACTAAACAATGTGAAAATTAAGCAAGTATTATTTTAAAAACGAAAATTTTTTTATTATAATTTAAAAATTATAATTTTATTATAATTTTAAATTTAATATATGTATATAAAAAAGTAATATATTAAATTATATAATATATATAAAAATAAAAAGTTTATATAATTATATTTTATAATTATATTATTTTGTAATAATTATATATAAATTTTAATATAAAAAAACATTTTTTTATACTTTTTAATGTTTTTAACGGCTTTTCCGGGGGGTGTTTAATAACGGGTTATTATTTATAATAAATAATTATTTTATATATAATTATATAATTTAATTAATATGTTTATTTTAATTTATAATATATAATTTAATTAGTTTATTAAAATTATATTATAATATAATTAAGTTAAAAAAAATAATAAATATTAAATTATTTAATTGTTTTATATGTAATATTATAATGTAAATAAAACCGGCGGTAAATTTTTTTTTAAAAATATTTAATATAATTTAATTATAAGTAATTTTTTAAGTTTTATAAATTATAATAATAAAAATAATTATTAATAAAAATTGGTTATGTTAGTAAAGTTTATTATTAATTTTATATAATTAAATTAAATAAAAAATAAAAATTATTATTTTATTTTGTTTTGTATAAAAAAGTGGAGGTTTAATATAGTTGGGAAAAAAAACGAAAATAACGGAAAAAAGTAAAGTAAATAAATTAAAATTTTTTGGTTATATTAAATTTTTAATAATATTAATAAATTTATTTATAAAGTTTTAATTTATTTAAATATTTTGCGTTAATATGTATTATGCGTTAATAATTATAAGTAATTAATGTTTAAAATTATTGGTTAATTAAATATTAAGTAATTTTTAATTTTAATTAATTCCGGTTATTTTAACATTTTTTATTAAATAATTAAAAAATAATAAATAATTATAATTATATTTATTTATAACGTTATGTTAAAAAAAGATTTAAAAAGTTATGTTAAAATAATTAATTTTATTAAAGTTTAATTTAATTTATATTTTAATGTTATTTTAATAGTTTAAATTAATGTTAAAAAAAAATTATTTTAATAGTTTAAATTAATGTTGGAAAAAAAGTTCGTTTTGTTATATCTTTTTAATTATATTATTTTTTGACCAATTATAATTTTAATTTACTTTTCCGAACATTTTTTTTAATATTGGTTTAAGTTAATTTAATTGTTTTTATTTTTAAATAAACATTTATTAAAATAATATTAATTATTAAATATAATGACGCGTTTAAAGTAAGTAATAATTGATTATATAATAGTTATTAACTTTTTTATTAAGTTTAATTATCGATTAAATTTACGCGTTTTAAGCTTTTTAAAGGTGTTAAAAGTGGTTAATATTAACCGTAATATCGGTTATAATATTGGTTATAACGCGGTAGCCGTAATACGCGACGAGGTTAGCTGTAATATGCGACGAGGCCGTATGGGTATAAAAAAAAAAGGCGGGAAGGTTTAGGTAATTAAATAATAGCTTTTAAAGTATTTTATATGTGGTTGCGGGTGTTATGGGTGTTGTTGTGGTGTTGATAAAAGTGGTTAATATTAGCCGCAATATTGGTTGTAACGCGATAGCTGTAATTTGGTAGCTGTAATATGTAACGAGGTTATATGGGTATAAAAAAAAGACGAAAATGTTGGGGTAATTGAATAATAACTTTTAAAGCATTTTATACGTGGTTGCGGGTGTTGTTGTGGTATTGGTTGTGGTGGTAATGTGTTAATATTATTTTTTTAACGTTAAAGTTTAAAATATTATAACGTAATGTTGTATAAATATGTAAAAAAGATGGGAAGGTTTAAGTAATTAAATTATTAACTTTTAAAGTATTTTATACGTTGTTATAAGTGTTGTTGTGGGTGTTATTAATGTTAATTGCGGTATATTACCGGTTGTAATATTATTTTTACGTTAAACGTTAAAGCTTACGATATTATAACGTAATGTTATACAGGTATGTAAAAAAAATAAAAAAGTAAAAAAAGTAAAATATTAGTTTTAAGTTATAAAAATAAAAGTTATTTTATACGTTGTTATTAAATATTAAGTTATTGTAAATATAATGTTTTTAAAAAAATTATGTTATTTTTACGGCTTTAACGTTTAAATTAATTTAAACCAAAATTCGAGAAATATTTAACTTATGACCCATTTATATAAACACATTAACCATGCGTTTATATGGCGCGTGTGGCGTAAACCAATAAACGAAACCCGTTTTTTAAATTTTAATTTAAATTATTAAAATAATTTTAATGTTAAATAATTTTTATTTAAATTAATTTATATAAAAATAGTAAATAATTTTTAAAATTTAATAAAAAGTTTTTTAATTAAAATTATTTTATTATATAACGGTAAATAAATAAATTATTTAATTAAAATATTTATATATAATATGGTTAATTATATTATTAATATTAATAAAATTTTAAAAAAATAACGATTAATTGTTAATAAAAAAAAATTGTTAAAAGTTATTTAATATAATTATATTTAAATTATTTATAATTATATTTAAATTTATTATAATTTTTTTAAATTAAAAATTAATTTAATAAAAAGTTTTTAAATTAATTATAAATTTTTTGTTAATAAAAGTGTATTATATAATATTAAAATTATATTAAGTTTAATTTAATGTTATAATTAATAAAAGGTTAAATGTATTTTATATTAATAATTAAAAAACGAAATAAAAAGTATAATTGTTAATAATATTAATTGTTATTTTTATAAATGTAATATAAAAGATTAAATTTTATATATTATATTTTTGTGTTAATTGTTATAAATGTTTTAAAAAAACGTTTAATATATACGTTTTTCTATTATTATTTAGTTTATTAACGTTAATTAATAATGGCGATAAATTTTTATTAATAAAGTAATTTTAATAATAATTTATATATAAATTGTAAAATTTTTATTGTTTTATATTTAATGTATTTTTAATGTTGTTAAAAATATTTATAATGTAAATATTAAAATTATTATATTATTATTAAATTTTAATTTAATAGTTAATTTTATTATTAAAATTTAAATATTTATTAATATAAAAATTTTAATTATATTAAATATTTTTAAGTTAATATTTTAATTAATTTTAAGTTATAATATATTTTTAATTATTTAATTAAAAATTAATTATATTATTTTATAAATTATAAATTATTTTAATAAAAATATTTTTATTTTAAAATTTTTTATAATCGGTAAAAATTAAAACTTTTTTATAATAGTTTATAAAATGGATATTATAATGTTATTTATTATATATGGTATATGTATTAACGTATGTTTTATATAAAACGTTATTAACGGTTTTTATTTTATTAACGGAGTTTTAAAAAAAATAATATAATATAAATTTAATTTAATAATAATTTTTATGTTAATTTTTGTTTAATTTATATTTTAAGTTATATATAAAAATATAATTTTAAGTTTAAAATTAAAACGTTAAATTAATATGATTTTAATTATATTAAATAAATTATTTAAATAATATTATTTAAAATAACATATTAAATTAATTATAATATTTAATAAATAAAAAATTAACTTTTTAAATTTACTTATTAACAGTTATAAAATACCAAATATTTTTAAAATTTAATTAATAATTTATTTAAAATATAATATAAAAATTTATTTATAACAAATATTTAAATAATTTATATATTAATTTTTATTTTAAAATATTATATTTATTAAATATTTTATTTATAAATTTTATTACAAATAATAAAAATGGAAACCGGTTATTAAAACAAAATATAATTTTAACGGTTAATATAATAAAAGTTTAAATAAATGTTTTAATTTTAAAATAATATTTAATAATATAAATTTT